AATTTCAACAGTCTCTCTATAACAAACGTCTCACGAGCTCGACTTCAACAATACTCCGTTCAATTACACACCCTCTGACTGCAGTTCAATTACTCCCGTCCTCAATTGTCCCGTCACTTTGGGACCATCTTATATATACCAGCCTACCCCCAATCTAGTAGTCTCCCGATAATTCACGAAGGTTCGAGAAGGACATGGCGTGATACTAGTCACGTGACCTCGCTGACGCAACACTACCCCTCCTTAGTATTGTTCGTCCCGAACAATAGCATCTTACATTAAACCAATAACAATTAACAATAACTTGATTAAATGTACAGAATTACAAACACAAAATTACAGTTCAACAAAGTCTCTTAATTTTAAGGGACGTATCTTCTTCCGTACTGGTCTCCGTCTCGTTGGCTTCTGCTTCACGTGGGGTTCATCTGCTTCATCAGGAAATGTCCTATCGTCGATAACAGTCACATCAGTGGTAGTAACTTCATCAAGAGCTTCACCGTTTTCCTTCTCAAAACTGAGTAGAGTTTCTTCTTCAACAGTAGCTTTTTCAGGTGACACTTCATCAGCAGCGTCATTTGTTCCTTTGTTCACTTCGTTCCAACTGAAATGTCCTGGACCGTGATAACACCAAAGCCTGTTGGCATCCACCACTTTTGGCTTACCTCGCTGACCACGTTTTATCCGGAAAGTCACGTCTGAGAGACGATCCACTATGTCATATGGGCCTTCCCATGGAGAAGACAACTTAGGAGACTTCCCTTTGGTCTTCCTTGGATTATACAACCACACATTGTCTCCTGGTTCAAAGCTGACTTCAGTACATCTCTTATCATAAGATAGCTTCATCGAATCAGCAGACGTTTTCAAGTTTGAACGCACTTGATGGTGAATATCATCCATCCTTTCCGATAACACTTTCACAAACTCTGACACATTCTCAGGCAACTCTTCATAAGGTGGGCGTCCTGTTAACAGATCCACTGGCAACCGAAGTTCCCGACCAAACATCAACTTTGCTGGAGTGTATCCAGTGGTTTCATGCTCTGCTGTCCTATAGCCCATCAACAGCGGAGGGAGTAAGACATCCCAGTCATCTTGACGGCTATTACAAAACTTTGCCAATTCCTGTCCCAGTGTCCAGTTGTACTTTTCTACCATCCCATCAGACTGTGGGTGAAGTGGCGTTGTCCTGGTCTTTTGGATGCCAAACAACTTGCAGCATTCTTGGAACACAGCTGATTCAAAGTTACGGTCTTGATCTGAATGCAGTTCATATGGCATACCAAATCTGAAGAAGAAATCACTAATTGCCGAAGCTACAGTTGTAGCTTCCTGATTTGGTATTGCATATGCATCAGGCCACTTGGTGAAATAATCCATCACCACACAAATGTACTTGTTTCCAGTACGAATTTGGGGCAGAGGACCAGCAATGTCGATGGCTACTCTTTCCATTGGTGCACCAACTTGATATAACTTCATTGGAGCACGTCCCTTATGCTTGGGTCCCCTTTTAGCACAACATGTACTGCATGTTCTGCACCATTCTTCCACATCTTGTCTCATACCTATCCAGTAAAATCTCTGTCGTAGGTTACTCAATGTTTTCTTAATTCCGAGATGTCCTCCTGTTAGAGTATCATGGGATTGACGCAACATAACTTCCCGTAACTTCCTTGGTATTACCGTTTGCCAGGTCTGGAGAAGAATACTATCTTCAAGTTTCAACTGGTCCCATTGTGCCCAGTAGTTCTTTGTCACAGGGCTTAGACTAGACATCTTCTCCCAAGCAGGGCGCAAAACACTTGCTTTTAGAAAATCAATCACTGGCTTCAACTCTTGGTCTTTCTCCTGTTCTGCCTTGATGTCTATATTTGGTTCCACTTCACCATCATCAACTCTTTCAATTGGCTTGACTTCAGCTTGATGACACCTGGATAGTTCAACCTCTCTTTTGCAGCCAATGTCTGCAGTCATTCTTGCAGGGTCTTCGGCTCAGTCCATCAGCATTACCATGGGATTTTCCTTCTCTGTATGTAATATTGTAATTATATGGGTCTAGTTTTCCAATCCAACGTGCTAGTTGTCCCTCTGGGTTATTTAATGATCTTAATCAGCGTAACGCAGCATGGTCTG